GAGCCTGGCCCCCCACCGTCTCCCCTGTCGAGTGGACTGGATTCATCCATCCAGCAAACCTTCAGCCAGCAGCTGCTCTGGTCCCACACTTGCTCAGCAGACATTTATGGAGGGCTAGATCCAGGAGGACTCATGGAGGAGGAAGAGAAGGAGGAGTTAGTCAGATGGGGGTGGTGGCGAAGATGGACCTGTGCGCGGTGTGGTGGCCCTGGGTGTGTATTTGAGACAGTAGGAGCCAGTCTGGGCACAGTCCCACGGTGGAGTTTTAGGGAGGGGGTTCAGGGGGAACTGGTGGTCTGCGAAGTCTCCCTGGAGAAGGGATGCTGGCCTGGGCCTGGGCTGGAGGGTTTATGAACAGAAGGAAAGTTGAGGGTGTGAACAATGGAATAACTTGTCCCAAGTAAGCGCTTTCTGTAACAGCTCAATAACCCATGGTAGTCACGTAACTCCCTCTCTCAGACAGAAAAAGGAGCCTCAGGTTTTGAAGGTGGCCAATGGCAGAGCCAGGACTCAAGTCCAGTCGGCTGAGCTCCAAGTCCACTCGCTCTCCACCATCTCGTATGAATTAATCCTGCCAGAAAGGGCTGCGCAGGCCGAATTGCCTGAGAATAGCCAAGAGGTCATTTCAGGCTTGGGAACTACAGAGACACCTGTGTGAGGAGGGGTGCTTTTGCTCAGTGAGCCGTGGGCACTGCCAGGAGCCACACAGGACTCTGGATTAGGGCATGCAAACCCCACACAGAACGGGGGCTGGCAAGGGCCAGGCCCACAGGGCCCCAGGGAACCCATTAAGGTACACAGGCTCGCCTGTGCCGGGAGGTCCGTGACTCCAGAGTCCAGGCGCCTGCGGCACCTGCTTTGCACACGTCTCCTTAACCCCCACTGCAAATACACCATGCAAGTAGGCATTCCGGTCCCCACAGCCCGTCCCGCCCGAGCAGAGGGGTCCTCCGCACTGGGTCCCTTGGTTCGCCTCGAGGCTGACCTGGTGGTCTGCATCTTTTTCCTTCCTGCCACCTCACTCATACCACTGGCTCTCTTGGGGCCCTCCTGCTCTCCCAGGCATCTTCAAAATTGAGGACTCAGCCCAGGTGGCCCGGCTGTGGGGCATCCGCAAGAACCGTCCCGCCATGAACTACGACAAGCTGAGCCGCTCCATCCGCCAGTATTACAAGAAGGGCATCATCCGGAAACCAGACATCTCCCAGCGCCTCGTCTACCAGTTTGTGCACCCCATCTGAGTGCCTGGCCTAGCGGCTGGCCCAGGGCCTGAAACCCGCCCTTAGGGGCCTCCCTCCTGCCTGCCCTGCCCCAGCCAGGCCCTGGGCTGGGGGAAGATGGGCAGTCTGCTCTGCTGCTCCGACCTTCCAGAGCCCAAAGCAAGGGAGGGGCGCCCCACTGCTCTCTGGGGAAAAGTGGGCCCTCTGGGGTCTGCAGGACCCTGGGGCAGGGGTGCTACTCTCCTGGAGGACAGAGGAACCAGGGCTACTGTCAGTGTTCACTGCTCCCCAACAAATGACCCTCACCTGCCTCTGACCCCAGCATTCCCAGAGCAGAGGCGCAGAAGGGCAGGGACTCCACAAAGGCCACAGGCAGTTCAGGGCTCTCTCTGCTCCATCGCCCTGCCTCCCATTCTGCACCACGCCCGGCACGGTGCGGGGGGTGTTTGCACCCCTGAGCTGGGGAGGCAGGGGTGCCCCTGGCAATGGATAATAAAGATACTAGAGAACTGACGTGTCCCCAGTGTCTGTGCAGTGAATGGCACAGCCCCGCGGCCATCAATGGTCAAACGCGGTTGTGGTCACAGGGCCTGGAGTAGCCAAGGGAAGCTTTCTGGAGGAGGTGGCTGTGAACGGAGCCTAAAGGGAAAGGGATGATTGATTGGTAGATGCTTCTAGGAGAGGGATAGTGAGTCTTCAAAGGCAATGAGGGAAGGAGGGACTAGAACGGCCACCTTGTCTTGCGTATCCCATTCTGGGCTGAGAGGCGGGCAGCAGGGCCAGCGCTAAGGAGGGTCTGTGTGCAGGACCGGAGTGGGGACAGCATCTTCTGCATCCGTTTGCTGTGTTGTAGAGCAGGGCTTTGTGCCTGCGTGGGCCAGAGGCCCAGGGCCCTTGTCTCTGCTCAGCCATCTAAGGGAGCTGGAGCTGTGGGGAGGAGGTCACTTCAGTCCCTTCATGGGACACTGGCTTTGCAGCTAACAGGGTGGAAGAGCGGTTGCTCGGCTTCCATTTCTGTTTCCTCGAGGCCTCAGCAGTACCACCTGTGAAGCTGTGAGCTCCCGTGCGTGGGTGTGAGACCCCCCCGCCATGCGTGATGGGAAGAGGGGATGCATCGCTGTCTGTGGGCATGCTGGGAGTGACCAGGACCTACCACCCACTCTCCTGGGCAAAGCGACTCATTCAACTTCCTCATACTTCCCTCACATTTGTCACCCGGCTCAGTGTCCTGATGGTCTACTGTGTGCTAGGCGCTTTGTCATTCAGCTTCCCAACAAAACTGTGAGGTAGGGGCTACGCCCCATTTTGCAGATGATAAAACTGAGGCTCAGAGTGGCTAAGTGACTTGCTGATGGTCACACAGTTGATCAGCAGAATAACTCATGCCCATCTCTCCCCGAGGACAGGGCCCTCTGCTCCGCTGGCCTCCGGCTTCCTGACCAGTCAGCACCCTTGGTGCACCATCACCCTCACTGTCTGAGGCCTGGCTTGCAGGAACAGCAGGGGAGCCAGCACCATCCAGATCACCAAGGGTTAAATGCTACCCTGTGCTGCTGCCTTCTGCCCTCAGCAATTTTATTGTCTTCAGAAGAAAGTTTACTCCTGGCAGTGAGCAAATAGCACCTTGGCATCTGTCAGCTGGGATTGCACTGGGAGGAGGGGCCCTGCCCCAGGCCTGTGCCTCGCTGGGCCCCGGCTGTCTCTCACTCCCTTGGAGCGGGTAGTGTGTGGGGAGACTGGGACCCTGGCCAGAACCAGGCTCTGCTCTGCTGAACTGGTTTTGTCTCCAGCCAGTCCCCTGCTCCCAGCTGAGTCCCTGGAGCCACTTGCCTGTATGTCCCCAGCTGGGCCTGGGCCTGGAAAGGCATCGGGTCTCAGGCAGGGGTTGGGCAGGAGGATGAGTAGGGGGAGTAAAGATAGGAGTGCAAAGCTGGAGCAGCTCCGGAAAGGGGAGATGTGGGGGTCCGGGTGAGGCAGCCCCTGCCCGTGAACGTTGGCAGGCACACGTCTATCCAGTCACACCTTGTGAGCTGGCAGCGATCTGCAGACTCCTCTCCCTCATCCAAACACCTCCCAGCAGAACCCCACCTGGCTGGGTATTCTCTGACCCCTCTCCATGGGGCCCCACCCTCAGGGCTCCCCATCACTAAATGGAACAGCCGTTTAGTGCAGATAAGACAATACAACAACCGTTTGTCTTTATTTGAAGATGCCTCTGTTTAGCTAAAACCAGGGATTGACATGGAGGTCAGTTTGGAGGAGTAAGGAAGGTGGGGTGGCAAATCAATTCAATCCCCATCTCAACCTTTCTCCCTGCCTGGCACACCCTGAGGCTGGGGGAACGCAGTGCTGGGGAGGGGGCTGAGGTAGATTTGCCATGAAAAATGGGCTTGTGTGACGGCCCTGCCAGGCTCCCGGGGCCAGAGGACCCTTAGAGAGACATCTCACCAGACTGGGGAAGCTGAGGCCCAGGTGAGGGTGGGAACACGGTGAGCTGATGGCGGAACTGGGGCTGGAGCTGGGACTCCCACTGCCCCAGAAGAGATCCCCTGGGGCTGGGGTGCGGGGTGCGGGGTCAGGGAGGTGGACCCAGGGCTGGCCTGGGGCTAGCAGAACAGCCAAGAGCCCAGAGCTCTGGCCCTGCCCATGCCCCTGAGAAATTCTCCCCAGGGAGCCTTCCCATGGGTCCCACACAGAAATGCCTTCAGAGCCAGGTGGGATGCAGGAGGGCATGGCATGGCCCAACGTCACCACACAGGGAGCTTGGTTGGCACTGTGGACAGCCGGGAACCGTGGGCCTCAGCAGTCACTTAGAATTCTGCTTTAAAAAGCAAAACCGCTGGGCAACGGTGGCTCACACCTGTAATCCCAGTACTTTGGGAGGCCTAGGTGGGTGGATCATGAGTCAGGAGTTTAAGACCAGTCTGGCCAACATGGTGAAACCTCATCTCTACTAAAAATACAAAAAGTTAGCTGGGCATGGTGGCGCAGGCCTGTAATCCCAGCTACTTGGGAGACTGAGGCAGGAGAATCCCTTGAACCCATGAGGTGGAGGTTACAGCAAGCCGAGATCATGCCACTGCACTCTAGCCTGGGCAACAGTGCGAGACTCCTTCTCAAAATAAATAAATAAATAAATAAAAATTTATAAAAAATAAAAAGCAAAACCTGTTTGAGGGTCTCATTCCTTCTTTTTTTTTGAATCTTGCTCAGTCATCAGGTGCCAGGCTGGAGTGCAGTAACGCAATCTCGGCTCACTGCAACCTCTGCCTCTCGGTTTCAAGCAATTCTCCTGCTTCAGCCTCCCAAGTAGCTAGGACAATAGGCGCGCACCACCACACCCAGCTAATCTTTTGTATTTTTAGTAGAGACGGAGTTTCACCATGTTGGCCAGGATGGTCTCGATCTCTTGACCTCGTGGTCTGCCTGCCTCGGCCTCCCAAAGTGCTGGGATTACAGGTGTGAGCCACTGTGCCCAGTCACCTCATTCCTTCTTGATCCATCAGGGCTTGTCACCAGGCACCCAGATCCTGAATGGGTCAGAGCTCCAGGAGCCTCCAGTATGCCCCTCCCAAGTCCAGACAAGACCCAGGCCCCTGCAGGGGGAAGGGACCAGCCCTCAGCAGCCCAGTCTGTGGATGATCAGCCAGGACAGCACCCGGTCCTGCTTGGACACCACCCCCGCTCCCCACATCCCAACACAAACAGCTCTCAGAGGGTTCAGCAACCCCCAGGGCTGGAGAAGGCACACAAGACTCAAGATGACAGTGCGCAGCCAGGTTGACACAATTCCGGATTTTATCCACAGTCATACAATCACAACAGATAGATATATATATTTGTATTTATATACCTTTAAATTACACAATCATGTACAAAACAGGGGCATTGCTGAGACCACAGCACTTCTCGGAGTTTCACAAGTGTCGGAACTAATGGAGTCAGGAAGCCTAGGGCGGCAGACGGCGGGCGGTGGGGCAGCGCCGGCTCCTCAGAACCAGGCCGCAGAATGGTGGTTAATTGGGGACAAAACACATCAGTCGCCGAGCCCTGCTGGGGTGGGCCCGTGCAGCATCGAGGGTGTGGGCAGGAGCTACAGGAGGAGGCCGTGGGCGTGGCAAGGGGCGTGGCCCCCACGTTCGGTGTAAAGTGCCCTGACACCCGCACTGGCAGGTAGGGCTGGGCCCCGGAGCTCACGAGGACTTCCAGGAAGGAGACCCTCCCACTCTGGGGCCCCGAGGAGCCTGGGGACGACTGAGAGAGAGTGGTCCCAAACAGGGCCCCCGAGGTGGCTGCTCAGGAGGGAGGGGGTTTCGAGTCCCTGCCCTGGAGTGGGCAGCTTAGCATGCTAAGAGGGACAGGCTGGAGTCCAGTGGGGCTGCAGCTCCTCCGCAGGGGCTGGGAAGCCGCGGGCACAGAGAGGGGGAGCCCAGGCCCCAAGATGCAGATGTGTCAGCTTCCCACCTTTCCAAGGTAAAGCGACGAGGGACAGAGGCCCCCAACCCCAACTCCTGCCTGGGGAAAGGCTGGAGAGGCTTCTGCGCTGGAGCTGGGAGGACTACAGGCTTCCAAAAGCTTGCTTCAGGCTCTGAGGAGCCCAGGACACATCTCAGGCTGCAGCTGAGGCCCAGAGACCAGACAGAGTGATAAGGAAGGGGGCGCTGGCAGCAGGAAGGAGGTCTGTCTGTCCCTGGGTGCCATCGTCCCTGGCCCTGAGGGAAGCCTGTCCCAGCTCAAGCCCCTACCAATGTCAGGATGCTCCACGCCCACGTGGAGAAGGTCAGAGCCTTGAGGCTGGGATCTACTACCTCCTAACAGTGGGCTGTTGGGAGAAGCAGCAGGAGCAAAGGAGGACTGAGGGGTGACAGGGCTGGGCTGGCTCGCTCGCTTTACCTGGAGGCCCAGGAGGCCAGGTGTGCAGGAGGGAGGAGGGCATCTGCAGTCCAGAGGCCTAGAAGTGGCATCCGTCGTAAACAAGTCTCACCTGGTGCTGCAGGACTTCTCAACTCCTTGCCCCAGAGGCCCCTAACAGCCTTTTCTTTCAGCTCTCCGACGTTGTGGGGTTTTGTTCAACCCAGTTCTGCTTCCCAAGCCCCCGGAACTCCTCTTGTGCGGGAGAGGCTGGTACCTAGCACTCCGGCACCACTGCTGTCGCCAACCAGCAGGTGGGCCCTTTGCTCCCACCCACCCTCAGAGGTGCTTTCATTCTGACCAGGCTTGGGGAGATGGAAGGGCTGCCAGCAGAGGGAATGTTGCTCTGGGGGCCATGGGGACAAGGAGGAGAGACATGTGACTATCTTCCGCCTGAGGGCCAGGGCTCCTCCTTCCTGCCAAACTCATGCTGGAGGCACCCATGGGGCCCTCAGGGGCTCCCCAGGCAGGCCAGAGAAGAGGAGAGAGGGATGGTTAGGACTTAGAGCCTTGCAGGTACAAGGCTTGGCTTCATGGAGGCTGATGTGGAACCCAGGGATTTTACAGTTTTTAGATGGACATGGAGGGAGGGTGGGGGGCCAGGGGGACAAATGGGAGGAGGCTGCTACTGTTGCTGGCTTTGCCATGGGTTTGGGGGTCCCCACCCTAGGCCAGGGGACTTATGAGAGGGAACAGGTCCTCTACGGATCTGCTGAAGAGCCAATGCTCAATGTGCTGACTGCTGGAAAGAAGGCCCTATGTAGCAGGGTCTTGGTCCCTCAGATGGGCCCGGGTCCGGAGGGGCTGGCACAGCCCGGGCTGAGGGTCTGCACACCCTTCATGCACCCTCCTATACCCCAGTGATATCATCACTTTCTCCAGCTCACCCCTCTTTCATGTCTGGGAAACCCCTGGAAACCTCCATGGGGAAGGAGGGTGACCATTACTCCTCCAGTCCCACCGATCCCAAGGGACGGGGCTAGGAGTCGAAGGGTGCTCCCCGGGGCAGAGTGGAAGACTAAAGATGGGGAAGCCTTCCTTCCTGGGGTCTGGAAAGGAGGCTTTTGAGAACAGTGTGGTGGAGGAGGGGAAGCAGGGCAAGGGAGGAAGAGGTTAGGAAACCAGGCCAGGGAACGGGGCAGGTGCCGGCAGCCTGGGGTGGAGCGGGATGGAGGGAGTGAGGCAGGGTGGAAGAGTCAGGAGACATCCCTCAGGGCTCAGGAGACTCTTTGGTGGTACCCGAAGAGCAGATGTTGTAACGTTGGGCTAAGTCCTAAGGCCCCAACCTACCCTGGGGCCATCACCCCAAGTCCCTGCACCCCAGCCTCCAGGTGGCCCTGCAAATGCTCTGTCTCTGTATACTTTGTTTTGTTCTGTTTTGACTTTTAAAAAAATAAAAGCTTGATCGGAAAATATGTCTGGAACTCTATGGCAAGGGAAAGGAGACAAGAGTGGGACGGGAGGGGAGGTGGTGCGGAGGAGTGAGGGGAGTGTGGAGGGAGCCGGCCTCTAGATAGCCTCCACGTAGTTGGCGGGGTAGAGGCCCAGCTGCCCGCTGTCCAGCCGCCCACGGCACCAGCCCTGCTCATCCTCTTCGCCCAGCTTGGTGAGTTCGTCTCCTGGTAAAGAGAACACAGGGAGGGGCTCAGAGAGAAGGCAGCCCCTCCCTCAACACACCCGCTGGTAGGGGAGCCCTCCAGTGCCCCCTCTTCATTACAGTACTGGGTCTTAGATTCTGGCCACGGGCCCCGCCCATGAAGACCAGTCCCAGACCCACGCCAATATTCACGTGTCACCCTTGGCATAGGGATCCTGGCCTATCTTATTCACCTAATCTGAGGGTCGGCTCCGCCCCTAAGCCCAGACCTCGCAGCCACCCTATTCTCAGGTTCTGACATTGCCCCTGGCACCAAATGGGCCCTATCCCCATTGCCTCATCTAAATCTTGCCCCAACTCCCATCTCGGGCCCAGGCCACGCCCACATCCAGGCCACGCCCCATTCAGTTCCCTGCAAATCCCTGCAACCCGTCTTCAAGCCCTACCTCCACCCGACCACACACCCAATCCAGGCCCAGGCCTCTCTCAGACACCGCCCCTGCCCCACCACACACCCAATCCAGGCCCAGGCCTCTCTCAGGCACCGCCCCTGCTCCACCACACACCGAATCCAGGCCCAGGCCTCTTTCAGGCACCGCCCCTGCTCCACCACACATCCAATCCAGGCCCAAGCCTCTCTCAGGCACCGCCCCTGCTCCACCACACACCGAATCCAGGCCCAGGCCTCTCTCAGGCACTGCCTCGCCCAGCCGCCCTACCGGCCTTAAAGCTGAGCTCGTCCTGCTCCTGGCCGTCGTAGTCGTAGAGCGCCCGCACGCGCACTCCCTTGGAGTCGTCTTCAAAGGGGTTGGCGCCCCCGTTGGCCTCATTGCCCCCAAAGGGGTTCCCGCTCTCGTCGTCCGACCATTCAGTGGCGTAAGGCTGGCCTCTGTCGTAGCTGCTAACACTGAGACGCAGAGGGAGGACCCAGCTTCGATGTCTCCCCGCACCGCACCCCATGGCTACTCATTCCTCCTAATGAGAGCTCCGACCTCGAATTCTACCAAGGCTAGAGCAAGGATTGTCTACATAGGACGGGGTGACCCTCATGAGCGCTTTAAACCGATGGTTACAAGCAGGACCATTTGCGTTATTATTCAGCCCTCTAGGGAGAGGGCACTGAAGGGGACCCCAGGGCACACATGGAGAGGAGGAGTACTGCCTAATGGCTAAGAGCAAGGATCCTGGAGTCAGACCTCCTGGGCATCCTATCTGGCTCTGAGGTTTGCTAACTTTCTATGTGACCTTCGGCAAGCCACTTAACCTCTCTGGATTTCGGTTGCTCCCGTAAAATAGGAATATTTATGGACTTGGGCTTGAATGAGTTAACACATGGAAAGTGCATAGAACCGTGCCACACACAGTAGGTTCTTTAGAACCATCCACTACCACTATTTTTTAGAGAGGAGGCTTGGTTCCTATGTTCTAGACCAGGGGTCCCCAACCCTGGGGCTGCAGATAGTCTGTGGCCTGTTAGGAACCAGGCAGCACAGCAGGAGGTGAGTGACTAGTAAGCATGATCTCCGGAGCTCCACCTCCTGTAAGATCGGCGGTGTCATTGGATTCCCATAGGAGCGCAAATCCTACTGTGAACTTCGCATGGGAGGGATCCAGGTTGCACCCTCCTGATAAGAATCTAATGCCTGATGATGTGAGGTGGAACAGTTTCGTCCCAAAACCACCCCCGTCCCACCCCTGGAAAAATTATCTTCCACAAAACTGGCCCCCGGTGCCAAAAAGGTTGCGGACCTCTGCTCTAGAGTGATGAACTACCTCTCTCCTTTACAGAGGAGACACAGTTGCTATGAGCAAGACCATTATCGTCTCCTGAAGTAAAAAGCAGCTGCCCTGGTGTGTGGGTGCCTCTTGGCCTCAGGAAGCTCCTCGGGAGGCACTCACCTGCCGCGGTCCCCAGCCTGGGATGTGGACTCTACTGCCCCAGTGGCATTGGACAGTGCCGCTCCCTCTGCCTTCTTGGGCTGTTTCTCCTTCTTGGTGGTGGTGTGAGGGAGGTCTGGGTTCCATTCCTGGTGGGGCGGTGGAGCAGTCAGGCTTGGGGGGGCTACACCCTGAGGCACCTTTCAGCCTCTTCAGGCTCCCCTTCCCCTCCCCACATATCCTCACCTCAAACTGGGGCCAGTTCATGGGCATGCCGGGGCCACTGGTGCTGCGGAACCATCTGAGGTCTTCCTGGGCATCAGCCCCCCGGATGGCCTGCTCCAGCTCACGGTACACATGGATGTAGCTGTGCTCAGGGAGATGGGGGAGGTGGAGGGCACAGATTCACCGTGGCCCCTTCTCATCCTTGGTGAGGGGCCAGATCCCATTCAGGGGACCAGGGTGCTGGGCATGCTGCCCAGCCAGGAATCATGTGAGCTTTTCAAGCAGCAGCTCCGGGCATGCTCGGTGGACGCCCTTCTCCCTCCCACCTTGGCCATTCACCCATCATCCAGCATGTGTTTCTAGAGTACCCAGTGTCAGCTTGCACCCGACAGCCCCTGTGTTTGAAGCCTCATCTCTCTTGACCCCTGCAGCTCTGCCTCCCCTTCCCGTCACTGTGAGGTAGGGCTGGGAGGTCCTGCATGCCGGTCACACCATCTGCTGCCTGTACCTGTGCCCTCTGTGCCTGCCATGACCAGGTACCTGCTGTTCTCAGCCAGGTTGAGGTGCCGTTTGATGTCCAGCAGCACCTCCTTGAGGAAGACCAGCCGCTTTTCCTCGAATTGCTGGCACTGCTCAAACACCTGCTCCATGTTCTCCATGTACTGGGGTGTGGTCTTGCCCACATCTTCCAGCACTTTCTCGTACTTCTCCTGTGTCTGTGGGCACCAGAGTGGAGAGAGGGTGACACCTAGCCAGGCCTGCAGCTCCCAAGCACCACCTGCTGCCAGGGCCCCGGGCCCCTGCTCCCACCGCGCCCGCCAGCACCTTCTGCACATCCTGCTTGCACTTGTCCACTTTGTCCTGCAGCTTCTTTTGCTGCTCAGCTGTGACCGACTGCTCTGTCTTGCTGTTCATCTCCCGTGTCATGGCCATCTTCTCCTCTTTGCAAGCCAAATGGTAGGCCTTCTTGGCTGTCTCCAGCTGCGGGGAAGGTGCAAGAGGGAGTAGGGTCACTCATTAACTCCTCCCCTGCCCACTCCCCGGGAGCTGTGAGCCACACTCAAGAGGCAGAAGGGATGCAGGCCCTGGCTCCAGCAGCCCCCGTCCATCTGTGGCTGCTTCTCTGCTTGGCACTGCCTGCTCCCCTGCAGATACCCTCCTGTCAGGAAGTACAGTACCTGCCCCATCTGAGGACAAGAGACCAATGTGCCCTTCTGCCCCCGCTGGTATCTTTCCTGGGGACAGTGCCCCTTTTTGCCCATGGGTCTCTTAACCCAATGGGCACTGCCTGCTCATCTATGAATATTTCTTCCTGGAAGACAGTGCTGCTCCCCTGGGCACAATCCCGGAGGGCAGTGCCCAGCCCACCCTATCCATCGATGCCCTCCCTGGGATCAGCACCCTCTGATCAGACGAGCCCACCCCACCCCGCCCATAGCAGCACCCACTGAGCACCTCCTTCATCTTCTTGGCCCAGGGCTTCTGGGCCTTGCGGAAGCCATCTTCAGCCTCCTTGGTCTCCTTGAAGCCGCCCATAATCTGCTTGTGATAGGCGTCCTTCTGCCAGTTCTTCACCTTCTCCAGGTCCTCGTTCAGCAGGTTGTTCTTCACCTCCTGGTGCAGCTCACTCACCTTGTCGGCCTCCGTCATTATGGCACCCCAGGCCCGCTCCAGGCTGCCATACTGTGGGCCTGAGGGAATGGCAATAGGTCACAGGAACCTCATCGCCCTCTGCCCAGAGGCCCCCCTCACACCTCCTTCCTCTGAGGCGTTCTCCTTCCTCCCATGACAGCAGAAATGCCCTCCTCTGCTCTACGCGACCTCATCCTTTAGGTCCCCATCAGCCACCATCTCCAGGAAGCCTTCCCTGACTGCTCTGCCCTCACACTATGGCCTGCAGCCCTCCCTGCATTCTTCTCACAGTATCTGCGGCTGTATCTCCCTCCTTATCTCCCCCGTCAGCGTGGGAGCCCCATGGAATGGAGTCGGAGGGGGAGGCCTGGACCCTGTGAGTTCTGACAAGCCCAGCACAGCTCCAGGCACACAGTAGGTGCTCCAGGAATGTTAGCTGAAGCTTGTGACAGAGGCCCGGAGGCCACTGGGGACCAGTCACTCCACATTGACTTGTTGTTTGTGTACTGGCACCGGCTCTGTGCGGGGCACTGTGCTAGGTGGTATAGGCCCAGCCCCTGCCTTCATGGGGTTTAGAGCATACTGCAAGAGAACAACGTGAACAAGTATTTGTAAACCGCAACTCGAAACTGTTCTAGATAAAAGGAACCTGGAGACACGACGCCTAGAGGCCACGTACGACCGCTCCGGATACTGGACTGGCAGGCACAATTGCTACTCGGTAAGTGTGTGCATGGGTCGTATTACATGTCCCAGATTTGACAGCTGAACTATGCTTACATGAGCAAATGCTCTTATTCGTGAGGAATTTAGGGGTGAACAGGGATAATGGCTCCAACTTACTCTCAAATGGTTCAGAAAACATGCATATCAATAAACAGTCAGTGAGAAAGCAAACGTGGGGCCCGTGAGTCTGGGGGAAGGCTATGCACGAATTCTTCGTACGACTGTTGCAACTTTCACACAATTTAAATTATTTCAAAATAAAAAGTCATTTTTTTTTTAACCCAACCTAAAGTTGTACAAAATAGAGATGAACAGTAGGCCTGGTTTGATCTAGGAGGGAAGAGCGCCTGAGAAGGTCCTGAGGCTGGTCGATGCGGGGCTCCCAGCACCCAGACTGGGGGGGCCGGCGACGGCCTGGGGGCGCGCACGGTGCGGGCCTGGGGGAGCACCTTTCTCGATGAGCTGGCGCCAACGCTTGGCCCAGTCGGTGAGCTGCTGCGCGTACGCCTTCTCGATCTTGGCGCGCTCCTGCACGCAGTTCATCAGGTCGTTGCACAGGCGGTGGCCGTCATCGATGCGCTTCACCGTCCGCTTGTAGTTCCCCACCTGGCGGCCAAGCAGCGAGCCCCACTCCCGCGGGTTCCCAGCGTCCCCGGCCCCGCCCGCCGCATCCGGAGCGGCCCCGCCCACGGTCTCCCGCCCACCGCCTCCGGCTCCGCCCACGTCCCCGCCCCCCTCCCCGCGGCCGGGCCTCAGTGTGTACCCTGGAAACCAACTTTTGGAGGCTCCAGCACCCTGCGTCAGACCCCACCGTCTACATGCACCCTCACCCCGCTTTAAACATGATTTTCTCGCTGCCACAAAATGCAGAAGGATTTTTAGAATTTGGACTTGGGGCCGGGCGCGGTGGCTCACGCCTGTAATCCCAGCACTTTGGGAGGCCGAGGTGCGCGGATCATGAGGTCAAGAGATCGAGACCATCCTGGTCAACATGGTGAAACCCCGTCTCTACTAAAAATACAAAAAACTAGCTGGGCGTGGTGGCGCGTGCCTGTAATCCCAGCTACTCAGGAGGCTGAGGCAGGAGAATTGCCTGAACCCAGGAGGCGGAGGTTGCGGTGAGCCGAGATCGCGCCATTGCACTCCAGCCTGGGTAACAAGAGCAAAACTCCGTCTCAAAAAAAAAAAAAAAAAAGAAAAGAAAAGAAAAAGAAAAAATTTGGACTTGGGCTGGAATGAATTATTCATTTTGTTTTTGTGAGCTAAATCTATTATATTTATATAGCCATATAAGCGTTGAGTTGAGCTGCAGCTTCTTGACATAATATTATGTTTTGTAGACATCGCATTAAACGCTTATTAATTTAGGTTTGGCAGTTTTCGTCTTGGGTTTCGGGAGCCAATAGCAATTTTTTTTTCCTCCAGGTCTCAAATATTTCTGAAGGCTCTGAAAATGCTGGCTTCTGGCCGCGCCTCCGCCCCGTAGGGCTCTAGGAGCTCACTCCCTCCTCTGTGTCCGGTGCTCCACCCCTGCCCACCTCAGAATGGGGGCCGAGAGAGGGAAATGAGAACAGCTGGGAAAGGCTGTGCTGCACCTGCCTGATGGAAGTGCCACAGAGTCACGAGGGCCTGTTCCCACATTGTGAAATGCCGCAGGCTCTCTCTGGGGGCAGCTGTGGGGAGAGAGGAGCTCCTGGCTCAGTGGGCAGGGCTCTTATGCCACTTCATGGCTACTGCTGCCTGTTGGATATCTAGGGCTTTGGAGGGGCCCCGGGGCCTGGGGAGTGCAGCCTGAGGTCAAGGGGTGAGTGATGAGGGAGCCTGGCCTCCAAATAGCCAGGCTGTCTGATCCCCAGGACCTGGGGCGCATCAGAGCCTCACCTCCCAGAAGCTGTCGGTGGTCTCCTCTGGAGCCAGTGAGGCCTCATCGTAGGAGCCAGACATGGTGTAGCCGCAGGGGGATGGACAGATGCGCAGCTGCAGTTAGCAGGCTCCGCTGCTCATGCACTGGGAAGGCAGGAGAGAGATCGATGGAGATGAGGGAAACGCCCTCTACCCTTTGCCCCAAGCCGACAGGATGGGGGGCTCCATGGGAGGAGGATTGCATTAGGATGCCGGCTTCCTGTCCAGAGACTAGCTCACCAGACCTAAGGTAACCCCAAAGTCACCCTATACTACCCTTATGCTCACCTCCCCATCCCTACTCCTTCCCCCTCCCTGGAATCCATCCTCTAGCTCCAGTATGATCACCTCCACTCAGAAGCCAGCCCCAGCCCTGCCGAGCCGGTTCTGTCTCCTGGACTGTTGCAGCCCAGGCTCAGCGCCTCCTCAGTTACCTGAGCCCTGGAACCTTGTAAATGCCCTTCCGGCTGCCCTTGCTCCCAACCTCGGCAGCCCCCATTAGCTCTGTACAAGTCTCCTGGGAGTCCCAAATGTGTGGCGTCCTGACCCACAGGTCACACCACCGTGATCTATGGGAGTGTCTGGGGTGGCTGTGTCTGCCCTGGATCTGCTGGCAGCCATCACGGTTGTCCAATCTAGGCCGTGCGCTGCCCCAGGGCCGAGGTGGGTACTCTCTTCCTCCCCTCCCCCAGCCAGGCCTCGATGTTACCTCAGGCAAGAACGGCTCAGTAGTCAAGAGCTAGGACTCAGAGGGCCAGGAGCCTGATTTTCAAAGAGGCAGCAGAGTGCAGGCCGGGCCTGGCCCCACTGCAAGCTGCCAGCCCCTGGCTGGATCTGGGCACCAGGGAACGCCTCCCTGCTTCTGCACTGCAGCCCCAGGACTGTGAACACTGACAGTGTGGATGCTCAGGGAGGGCTGGCCTCTGCAAGATTTAGCCCAACCTGGGGGTCCAGGGGACCCCCGCAGCCCTCACCAGCAGCTGGTTGTCAGGTTCAGGGCAGGGCTCACAACATGTGAGGATGGTTGGTGGAGGATATCCCTCCCGCTAGGGCTCCCCATCTGTCCAGGGCCTGGGGCTCTTTCCCAGTAATAGCCCAGCATTGCCTCTTGCACTCTCAGGCATCTAAACATACTTTGTTCCCTCCCTTTTAGCAGAACCACAGGCAGACTTTCCCACAAACTCACGCACAGTGGGGGTGGGCGAGAGGGAGGGCGGCTGGATTTCATCAAGGGACAAAGAAATGAGTCTGAAGTTTTCTTTCCTTAACTTGGCACTTTTCACTTATAAAGATGTACTTACTTCATAAGCAACATTTTAAATTTAGATACGGAGAAGCAGAAAGCAGGGATGCTTAAGGAAGCATGGTCAGCCAGACGAGACAGGAATCCCTGGGACCAGTCCCTTTTAGAACCCTTAATGTCACACAGAACTCTGCCCCTTGGGACTCCCGCATAATGCATAGCTGCCACAGGGGCCGGAGGGCGTGAGCAGGAGGTGGGTGGAGGGTAGAGCCATTCATTCCCTCGTGGGACCAAAGGGAGAACCCAAGCCATGTGTGTCTCACCCACGGTAATGGGAAAGTAACTTAATACCATACAATTGTCATCGATACAATTGTGGGCACGCACCCTTTACCCAGCACCACCACTTCTAGGAATTGCCTTCCAGCCAGTCAGTCAGATGATGCATAAGATCATTTACTACAGTACTGCTTGTGGACTTGAAAGACTGGAAACAGCCCAAATACCTCCACGGAGGGCTGGGTCCATACGTTACTGGTGCAGACCTGTCATGGAAGCTCTGCTCCCAAATGGAACCTTCCCCCACATCGCATCACTAAAGCCAAGTGAGCAAGGTGCAGACCCGTGCGGCTGGGAAAATACAGACGCAGGGAGTGTTTGGGGAAGACGGCAAGAGAAACTGGATATGGCGACTATCTCTAGGGAATAGGGTGGCCAGGGGCCGAAGGGGGAGGGAGACTTTCTTCTGTAGGTCCTTTCGTACCCTTTTAATTTTGCCACATCTCCATGAATTGCAGATTTTTAATATTTATATTTGTATTTTTTGAGACAGAGTCTTGCTCTTGTTGCCCAGGCTGGAGTGTAATGGCGTGGTCTTAGCTCACCACATCCTTCGCTCCCGGGTTCAAGCAAATCTCCTGCCCTAGCCTCCCAAGTAGTGGGATTACAGGCATGCACCACCATGCCCGGCTAATTTTTGTGATTTTAGTAGAGACGGGGTTTCTCCATGTTGGTCAGGCTGGTCTCATACTCCCGACCTCAGGTGATCCGCCTGCCTCAGCCTCCCAAAGAGCTGGGATTATAGGTGTGAGCCACCGTGTCCAGCCAGAATTGCTTGTGTTGGGGGAGAGTTGAGGGAGCTAGGAACCAGGATGGAGGGTGCTGTGAGCATGGAGGGAGGGGACAATGCAGCTGAGTCCTGCCATGTCAGGCTAGAATGCCCGATGGCTGAGACCACTCTCCACCTTGTCCAGAAAAGGCCAGGCCCAGGGCTCCTGGAAGTCGCTGGGGTCCACGCTCGGTGTTACCAGGTAATGCGTCTCTCCAGCTCCCAGCTGAGGGAGGAAGCGTAGTGGAAACAGCTCCAACCTCAGGGTCCCTGCTCTGCTACGAACATGCTGTGTGACCATGGGCAATCTGCAGGCCTCTCTGGGCCTTGCTGGGAAATGGGGATGATATGGCTGACTTAAGGATTAGATGAGGTGGTGAATGTCCAGCCCATGGCAGACTCTAGGCCCTCCCAACTCCAGCCTCGGGTCTGATGCACACAGGGATGGGCTCAGGAGGAAGAGCCAGAAGGCAGCATGTGGACCCCCGTATCATGTGGCTAGACACACCGTCCCAGCCTGCCTCCGCCTCTTCCAAACTAGCCTCACACCCCCACCTGAGGGGCAGGCAGGAGGCTCAACTCTGGACAAATGCCATGTCCTTCCTGAAGGGCAGTTGGTACCTGCTGTCACTAAAAAGGCTTCATCTCTGACCATCAGAAAGGGATGTGGCTGGCACCTGGCACTCCCTGTGGGCCGTGCTCCTAGCGTTCCTCAACCCTTTAAAGGGGCACGAGGCTCATCTGCCTTCTCTCACCAGTGGCTGTGAGGCTATCTCAGCCCTGAAGATCCTTTAGTGTCTCGATAAATGACAGCCAGCATTAATTCACATGTCAAATCTACCTCCTCTAATCCTCGCCACGACCTGACCAGGCAGATTCTGCTGTCACCCCCACACTGTAGCTGAGAATCCAGGGGCCCAGGGACGTAACAGGGACAGAGCTTGTCCACATGCCATGGGGAGAAGCGAGCCCAGAGCATCACAGCATCCCTGCGTGGTCTTATTATTTAAGGCTATCACAGCATGACAGTGGCCAGCAGGCAGTGAGGGCCGAATGTCCCGCGCACGGTGCACAGGACTTCCTGTGGGAGCTCAGCAAATAGACAACGGCCATATGACATGGGAACTACTGTTACACTGTTTTATAAATGAGGAAACTGAGTCACAGAGCAGCGAAATAACCTGCCAAAGTTTGCCCAGTGTAATGGTTAATTTCAGGGGTCAACTTGACAGGACTAGGGGATACCCAGATAGTTGGTGAAGCGTTATTTCTGGCTATGCCTGTGAGGGTGTTTGGAAAGAGACTGGCATTGCAATCAGTGGACTGAGGAAGGAAGAGCTGCCCTCACCCAATGTGGGCGGGCACCACCCAATCAGCTGAGGGCCTAGAGAGAAGGAAAAGGCAGAGGAATGGTGAGTTCCTGCTCTCTTCTGGAGCTGACGTTCTCCTCCTGCCCCTGCACATCAGATCTGCAGGTCCTCAGGCGTTCGGCCGCACACTGAGTGACCCCACCGGCTCCGCTGGTTCTCAGGCCTTTGGACTTGAACTGAGCCATGGTTCAGCAGCTCACAGCCAGCCTAACGTGGGACTTCTCCACAATCACGTGAGACCGCTCCCCTAATAAATCTCCTCTCATCCATCTTTTGCTACCTACCCATCTATCCATCTATCATCCACCCATCCATCCAATTGATCCTGTCTCTCCGGGGAGCCTAATACACCCAGGTAGGGAAACGTGCAACTGGGGTTTGAGCCCAGGGTCCGGATCCAGAGTGCACACTCCTGACCACTACACTCTCATGACAGAAAGCAGTGTTGACATTAACACTGGCTGTCACTAGCTACTGTTTACCTAGTGCCTACTGTGTGCTAGGTACTGCTCTAGGATGCCTTATGTGTGGCTTATTTTTATTTACAGATGGGGAAACTGAGGCACGAAGTGGTTAAAATAGTGCAGGCATGGCCTTTGAGACAGTCAACAGCGGAGCTGGGATTCAATCTTGCTCCCGCCACAGTCCCGCCCCTGCTGCGTGGCCCCTGTTGAGCCTCATTCCCGGGACTCCTGAGGGAGAGCAGAAGCAACGCTTACTGAGCACTTTCTCGGGACAGGCCCTCACACCCAGCACCTCACTCATTCTCACAGCGATCCTCACAGCGAGGGGCTTCCTCTTTTTCTTCTTGCGGAGACCAAGACTCCGAGAGGTAAGCCAAGATCATGTGGCTACAGGGTGCCAGAGCGAGGACTGGACCCCGGAGCCCGTGCAGCACAGAGTAGGATTACAACCCAGACTCTGGAGCCAAATACTCTGGGTCCGAACCCTGGCTCTCTCATGAGCCGTGCGACCCTGCGTGGATCTCCTCCTCTTCCTGGGCCTCAGCGTCCTCATCTGTAAAATGGGCGACGCATGCGAGCTCTCCGCAGGTGTCGGCGCTCACTGTCCTTTCGTCACCACTGCTGCCGGTAGTGGGGCGACAGCTCCATCTCAGGGATGACCCTCTCTCTGTGGAGCCGGGAAGGGTCTTGCCTCTCTCATCCATGAGGACAACAGAGCCTGTGAAGTGCAGGACAGGGCTGCAGGGCTCTGGCCCCGGCTCCCCTAACCGCTACCAGTGAGATCTGGACCAAGTCTGTGATGGAGGCCTCAGTTCTCCAACTTGGACAATCGGCTTAGTGACAAAGAAGCCCGAGGACGAAACGCGTCTCTCCTCAGGCCCAGGCATCTCTTGAAAGGGCCTCCAGGAAACCCTGGAGGG